GGTGGGGGTGGGGGTGGGGCGGAGCAGGAGGAGTGAGAGGAGACGCAGCAGCCCCCGAGTCGTAACTCGTCGTAATTGCGGCCGCTGTTTTATATCACGTGACCCGGCGCCTGCTCCGCACTGCAGCGTGGCCGGGACGCTCTCTCGCCGCCACCGCCGCGACCCCCGCGCCGCGACACAGGGCGGTCCGCAAGTGCGCTCCCCTCACAACCCCACGACCTAATGGACTCAACTGATTCTGGGCTTTTCAAGGAACAATTAAGATTTATTGATTAGCCTAGATATATTGCTAGTGTTGAAAATTCTGACAGCACCTGGACGAGAACGCTAGTGCCTCCAGACAGATCTGCCATGTAGTGAAATCAATTGATGACCTCAGCCACCTTAGCCGGTGGGACGGTAAATTATTAATGGTTGAGGTGTTTAAAAAATATACACGAAGGATAGCTTTCGCAAGTAAATATTTTGTGGAATTCAAATCTACCGTATAGAGAAGAATGGCTTCATCCCGGCGAGCCTGCATCGGAAATATGGACTAAAGCAGCTTGCTTTTCTAAAACCTCTATTTTGGAGTTAATTTTTCCGTTGCATCGAGGGAGATTTGCCTACGCAAATCTATCTAACAATTCAATTTATGAATACAGCCACTTGCGCCAGTTGTACAGAGAGGGTTATTTATGGCTTCCATTTTTTAATCCAAATGTGCAGATTGCTATCGAGAAAATCGCACCGGAATAGAGTTTGTATAAATCCCGCGTAAGATATAAGTTTTCATCTCGTGATTAAGATGAGAAACTCTCATGTTAGTAACGTCATCATTCACGATGTGGCAGCAACAATTCAAGAAATTCGATTGTTACAGAATGGTATCGAGCTTAGATCGTAACGGAAGAACAACGATAGGTGAAAAGTTGCAAGATGATGATAGTGACACGCTAGAAACAAAGATGTTATGACCAATGGTGATCGTGATATACTGACCAATTTTTCTTTTGTTCATCATAAATTTCACTCGGAACGTTCTAGCATTGAACCTCTGTGCACAGTACATTGCGATTGTTCTGATCATTAAACATCGTTATATTACGTAAATGATATAATAGCAGGCGTCCTGGAAGTTTACAAAGAGGCTTATCTGATTAATTCTTATCATTGTAAAAAGTATTTTCTAAACAAAATAAATGGAAACTATAGTATCGATCGCTTACATTTTTGTTTTCACACAATTGTTACTTTCCTCTTATATGAAACAATTTAGCACGCTATTTTTTCTGAAAATTCTACAGAATTTAAAAGTAAACCTTACAGGAGTTAGTCCTTACGCCTTTGTTTTCCATGCAAGCAACATAATTCTATTTTTCTTCATACACTTATTTTATCATATTCTCTCTGACATGAGACGAGATAAAAACGCATTCTCCACTTCATTATTATGTATTTCAATTCTGTAGGTACTTACAAGAAAGACGTGCATTTCATATCCCATTCATTCACCATACTCAACATATTTTAAAAGTTCGTTGATGATGAAAAAAGTTGGTTTAGTACTCTTATTCCTAGCGACGTATTTTCGCAGCGGCGACTTTACATTTGAAGGAGGCCGCCGCACTTTATTAAAATTCTCTCGCCTACGCCAAAACAAAAAAAATAGACCAGATTAACTCAATTTTTTACGGAACGGCACGGAGATGGAAGTTGTAAGGAAAAATTAGTTTCCCTGAGTCCACCTCTTCAGCACAAAGCACTCACAAAAAACGGAGAGCGCTTCTAAGCCATAGAGGTCAAGATACGGTTACTGCAGAGGAGATGTATGTAGGCGAGGTGAAAGAGCATCTGTAGGACGCAGCACTGGCCAACCCGCGCACATGTCAGCAGTCACCGCCCGCAGTCACCGGCAGCTGCTCGCGAGTCCGGAGATGGAAAGGGGAATACGTAGGGAGCAGGACTTTCTCCGATCGAACCTGGCGAATGCCGGAGTAGTACCGTAACAAACAGGCCACGCACCCAGCGCTATCTTTGCTTCGCCTTCCTCGTCCTATTCCCACCCCTTGCTTACACTCTCACACACTTACACGCACTATATTATCACGCCTGCCGAGAGCTTGGAGCTTGCCCCGGCTACGGTGGTGCCCCCTAGGTGGGGAATACCTTGTTTGGGAATAAACCGCAAGCCGCTGGGTACGTCGGCGCCGGATCTCGCCATCCAGCGGGGGAATATCACCGCCACCTTCTGCGATATCTACTACACTTACGAAACTAATGACCTTTAGCAGGTGACGCGCAGGGTTCACTAATCAATGAATTAAACTGAAGAAGCAGGACCAGCATCTGATGATCTATCAATGATGAAATAGTAGTTACCGTTATCTTTCGCTTGCCTGCACATGTATATTTGTGAGTAGTGTTTTTTCGTACACATCCTGTCTAAAACAAAAGTCTGAATCATTAAACTAAGTTAAGTAGTAAATAGCGTAAATAAACGTTTTGATTTGCATGTAAATAAATATAAAAATATAATTATGTATATTGTAATTTTGTATTACTGTAAGTTCTAATTTGAATTGTAATATTTTTATCCTGTAAATTGTCTATTACATTCAGTAGAGTATGGAATAAAACGAATACACATTTTTAAATTCTTACTTTAATTATATTTATTACCGGGAGATTGCTTTCTTCAGGTTGGACGGAAATTGATTTAGGGATATTCGCAGTTTCTTCTGTACTCTTCCATTGGGCGTCTTCCTTCTTTCTTACTGGAATTTCCCCTCCATGACACTCCCCTTGGCGTTCTCGACAGGGGCATGAATCGGGTATGCGAGCGCAACCACTACCCGTACCCTTTTCGCCCGCGCCCACCCAACCCACTACCCACATTTCGCTAGCGGGCTGCAGGCCGGTGGTGCCAGGGGCGCGAGCCTTGGACGGGCCTGTGCTAGAGGAACCTGGGGTTCCTGCGGCTGGGTTAATCCTGCGGCGAGATAGCGCTGATACACTTTGCCTGCTCTTATTAAACCGGTTTAAACCCCGCTGCGGGGCGGCGCATGCACGGAAGCGGAGGCGCCAAGAAAGCCACGGAAGTAGTGTTTCTCCGGTGAAGTTCTTACGACCCCTGAAGTTCTGTTGGTCGACACATATGGTTCCGCTAGAATATAGAACGACTAGCAGAGGGAAGTAAGTACGCTTTAATAAAGGAAAGTAATTAAAAAAGTGTTTCAAAATTTCAAGTTAATTATTGAAATACGTTAATACAGTACCTTTATGACCTTTAAATTCTGAAGATAATGAAAAAATTAGTTCTGATATTGATAATTTTCATTTGTTAATCATTTCTGCATGCATATTGTCTTATAATGCGATGAGACATTTCGATAAAAACGCAGGTTTTTAAATTAAAAGTTCTTAGAAGATATGTACACAACTGTTTCCCGAAATAATAATTTACCGCTGATAAAACATAACGGTTGAAGACTGCATTGCAGTTTTAATTTCGTTTGTTATTTCAGAAATCAATGTCACATTCAATTACATGAACCATTAACCCTTCTCAAGAAAATATCGCATAGTAAAGTTTGCAGGTGCATGACTGACAAGAAATGTGCTTGTATTGTCTTGTCTTGTCTTATTTGTGGGTTGGTAATCCGAATAATTTGTGGGCCTTCGGTGATTTCTGCTGTTACTAAAAAATGGAATTAAAATGGTTGAGAGATATCAGGGGTATTGAAAGAAAATCAATATAGTTAAAGAATGAAAGGATGAGCAATGACGGGCATTTGAAATTAATAGGTAAAAAGTGTAAGAGTTTATTAAAACGCTTTCCAGAATGTTATCTATTGTACGCATGAATACAACAGTAATGGCTGCAATTGTTCTTTGAATTCAATACAGTACCAATGCATTCGCATGCAAACGATTAATGCATTTAAAGAGAAACTGTGGCGATAAAACAGTGAAACGGCAACCACGAAAGAGCCAAAATGCAAAAGCCAAAACGAAAATGTATTTCACATTTACTTCCCTCATCTGATTCAATGCGATATTTTCAGATTACACAAACAAAATCTCTACCATAATTTTGCTTCTCCCAATATGTTGTATAATTTAAATTGAATTTTGTCGGTATTTACATGGAAAACATTTATGAATATTTAAACTTAAAAAGTTAGTCAATTAACTAAACGACGATTCCAGCCAGGATTTTTTTAATAGCCGCTATTAAAACATTTATGACTGGAATCATCGTTTAGTTAATTGCTTGATATTTAATCCAGTGATCACTCTGAACTTTTTAAATGCATCTAGAGAGATACGTCTCGGTACATCTAGATAGGGGTAGGTAACTTTCACTTTTTTCTTCCACTATAAATCCTCATATTTAATCACTCGCTAAAACAATACAATTAAAACCTACGTATCCCAAGAGAGTGTAAACCCTTTTAGGAGGTAGTAGGCATTCCGCGTCGCCTACTTGCGTGGAACAATGGCGCCGGCCGCTGGTTCGAATTGCAAACAGGTGCTTTCAGTTCTTCGCACCGAACCAGTTAATTGGGCGTCTCGGCGCTTGCGAGGCGGCGAAACAACGCAGGCGACCGTCGCGAGGCGCAGGCCAGCGGGGAAAGGCTGCGCGAAGAGGTTGCGCCTGCAGCGGGGAAAGGCTACGCGAATTTAACATGCGCCGGCACGTGAACGGGGCGTTAGGAGAGGCAAGGCAACGCCTCACCTCCTCGCTCGAAGACCCGGGTTCGAGGCGGGTCGAGAGTGTTATTGGCGGAGCGACCTCTACTAGAAGCGACCTCGTTCCAGGTTCGACGAACCGACAACGACCTAAGGGAATAACATCATCTTCTAGAACGCTGTGTCAAAATACTGGTGAGAAAAATTCCTGTAAGATCCAATCAATGTTGTTTCTAATCGTAAAATCTTTCATGCATTTACGTATTACACATACTTCTATGGCAAAACCTTACGCCCGCACTTGTATTCACAGTTTTTAACTGTTTTAACGCAGTGGGGGAAGGGTGCGCGAATTTAACATGCGCCGGCACGTGAACGGGGCGTTAGGAGAGGCAAGGAAACGTCTCACCTCCTCGCCCGAAGACCCGGGTTCGAGACGGGTCGAGAGTGTTATTAGCGGAGCGACCTCTACTAGAAGCGACCTCGTTGCAGGTTCGACGAACCGACAACGACCTAAGGGAATAACATCATCTTCTAGAACGCTGTGTCAAAATACTGGTGAGAAAAATTCCTGTAAGATCCAATCAATGTTGTTTCTAAACGCATAACTTTTCATGCATTCACTTATTACGCATGCATCCATGACACAACCTTGCGCCCGCACTTCTATTCACAGTTTTTAACTGTTTTAACGCAGTGGGGAAAGACTGTGTGAATTTAACACGCACTCTCACGTAAGAAAACGCGCACCCGGGCGTAAGAACGTAAGAAAACGCCTCACCTCCTTGCCTGAAGGTTTTGGTTAGAAGCGGGTCGAGAGTGTTATTGCACTGACTGGGAGACGCGTTCTAGAAGCTCGTTCGTTCCGGATTCGACGAACCGACAACTATCCAAGGGTATAACATCATTTTCTAGGGCTATGTCAAAATGCTGCTGAGAAAAATATCTGTAAGATCCAAGGCAATATTAAGTGTTTCTAATCGCATATTGTTCCACGTACTAACTTCTTAAGCATGCACTTCTTACACAACCTTTTGAATATGCTTTTACCTATAGTAGGACACGCCCAGTGTTTAATTGTTTTAATGTAAAATAAATAAAGACATAAACCTGCGTGTGTCTGTCCGTTACTTACAGTCAGATCTGCTGCGATTCATCATCTAGAGGCAAGTGAGATATTCGAGGTGTTTTTGCTACTGGTGTGGAATTGACATTTTGTCCCGAATCTGTTCGAAATATTGTAAGTTTTTTCGTGGGGAGTGGCGTTTGAAGCGTGTACACACAGTTTTGGGGGGAGGATATTGAGGCACGTTCAGAGGCTTATACGACACGAAGAGGAAGGAAGCAGAGCGTAGGGGTCTGTCACTCGTTTTTAATGTACTTCTCCGGCATTCGTCAGGTATTGATCGGAAAAACACGAAAAACTACCGCTCGGAACATCCAACCACAACGTTTCATCTCCAGACAGAGATATATTTCGATTCACCTACCTATCTTGGATCGAAGACTTCAGCCCTAGGTCCCCTCAGTCAACGGCGCAGTAGAGAAACTAGTGATGCCGTTGATATATCGCATCTCACATTCGTTTCTCACAATTTTATTTATTGATTGATTGCTTTGTGATTCCGGGCGCATCAACTTCTAAGGTTATTATTCCCGTAAGTACAGTATCTGTTTCTCCCCGGAAGGTCACGTTGTTCTCACCCCGCTGGTTGGCGAAATTCGCCGACGATTAGCGGGGGTTTCCCCTACAAGGAATCTCCCACCAGCGCAGTGTCACCCCGGGCAGGACAAGCTATAAGCTCTCGACCAGTCTCCCGGCGGGTGTGGTAGTGTAGTGCATGTAAGTCTAAGTGTGTGCATGTAAGGGGTGAGCATATGATAAGGAAGAGGAAGGAAACATCGCGCGCGGTCCGTGGCCCGTTTTTTAGAGTACTGCTTTGACATTCGCCTCATTTTAATCGGAGAAACCACAGAAAACGACCCATCAGCCCTCACGATCATTAAATCATTCTTCCTAGAGAGGATGCCAAAGGCGATCCTCCACTGAGATTTGTGCAGGAATATGGAGGGCATAAAGGCATACGCCTTTTTCCACACCTACCCTCAACTAGAAATTAATATGGCCCTCGCAAGAAAATTTTATATTGAAATACAGTTTCTTTTTTTATAATTCCCTTTTTTCAATAGAACCCTCTGCCAGATTTCACCGTTTCAGCGGTTTTTTAATGAGATGAGGGACAGGGAAAGAAAGAGAGAGAGAGAAAGTTCCGTCAGGTAGAAAGAGACCGATAGACAGTCACGAAGAAAGGGAGACAGACAGAGAAGTGCCATCAAAACAGCAAACGCAAGAAAGGTTGTCCGGGAGTCGGCAAGTGAGGTGGGATGAAAGCAATGATAGCTGGCGAATCGACAAGACGGCGCAGTCGAGTTGCGATAAACTGCACCGACGACATCGAACGACGTTTCGACAGCGCGATAAAACGACACTGAGGGCGACGGAGTACGTCGCGGAACAGCGCTCGAGAAGATTCAGCAAGAAGCGAAGCCGAGTCTGCGAGATATACCGCAGACATGACACTGTGGGCAACTGTTGGCGCTGCAGTGTCTCTATTATAAATCTATACTTCCATTATAGGTAGCGCCATCTGGATCGCTCAACTTTCGCGACGAGAAATGTTTATTATATATTCACATATTTTAGTTGCGATTTGTACCGAACAGAAAATACAGCAAACATTATGAGTTGAGTTAAACAAAACGTCTTATCGTTAATTAAAAACTAACGATATAGCTAGGTCGAATTCAGCCACCATAAACAATTTCTTACGGTCGACTGTTCTGATCGCTAATTTTTCGCGTTTTCTCCGATCATCACCATGCAAATTCCGGAGCAGTACCCTAACAAACGGGCCACAGACCGCGGGCGATCTTTCCTTCCTCTTCCTTATTCTATCCTCACCCACACAGACACACATGCACCACACTACCACGTATGTGGGGGGACCAGTCGGCAGCTTAGAGCCGTCAGCTTCGTCTTGGCAGAGTCTTCCCCCAACGCTGGGAGATACCTGGGTGGAGAAACAACACAAGCCGCCGTGTATCTCAGCGTCGGATCTCTCCATCCCTTCCAACCGGAAGAACACCTTCACTTTCGGTGGTAAAAAACAACGCAAACAGGACTGATGACTATGACAACTGACGCTCCCCAGAAACACGAAAGAATCAATCAAAGGAACCATGACGAGAACCCCGAGGAATTTGTGTCCCTTCTTTTTTTTAAGAATAAAAAACCAGCTGCGCGTTTTTGCGGCGCGGTCCGCAGCTTCGTCCTTCGCTTTTTTAATGAAAGTTACGCTACCGAGTGTTACACACGCGGTGCGGCACACGGCAGGCGCCGGGAATTAAATGAGGACGCCTCCGCCGAACTGGCGCTGCAAATGGCGTCGGCGAAAGAAATAAAAAAGAACTAAATTGCACACACTTTGTTCTGCAATCCTGTAGCCATGCAGGCGATGTTTAATTAATTTTTGTTGAGTCGCGACGTCCAGATGGCACAAGTCATAATTTTGTGCTAATTCTGACGGACGTGGATGATGATTGCGGTAGGTTCAAATATTAAATGAACATAAGTGGTCGCTTAAAAATGTGTAGGTATGCTTCGACAAACTGGCATGCAATTGTGCTAAAATCAATAGTTCTGATGAGTAAATTATGTAGTTCAATTCGGTTTCTTCACACTGTTTGTGTATAATTCATTGAGCTGTTTAGGCCACAGATACACACATTTATCAAGAATTGTATTAACGTATTCCATAATGTTTGTATAATGAATCGTAATGAGAGTGTAATGAGAATATAATGGAACAAAAGGGCTTTCTTTAATTATTATACATGAAAAACACAAATATTTACAACTACCCCAGTTTTAGACTCTCATCAGGTAAACATAATGCACACATTTTGGGTTGTGTAGGAGTAGCAATATAAGTCCTTTGTACGCACGTCAGGTACACTGAAAATAACGAATGTTTTGTTTCGATAATTATAATTAAATGAGAAGGGTTGATATGTGTCTAGTCAGGCGCGGATCCACGGGGAAAAGAAGGAAATCCCTCCCTAAAATTTTTCAGTATTTATTCATTTTAACTTGTCATGAAACTTTCAAGGAGAAATATTTTCGGATAATTATTAAAACATATAAAATCTAATTGCAGCTTGAGCTGAGTGTAGCCTACGACATTTTACAAAATCAGTAATGTATCATATTCAACCGAAACATTTTCCCTCCCAAAATTTGTCTCAGGATCTGCCACTATATAGACGTAAATATGGTTGATGATATGTGCATATTATTTCTAAATTTTGTATTTACAAACAAAATATTGTCGTATGATAAATTATTTCTGTGGTAGTTTAAAAACCGATAGAACATTCTTATTATTTATTGATTGCCACTCACGAATCAATATCTAAATGAGGAGATCTTATAATTAGCTCGTGTAGATAAGAAAAGTAAAAGTGATGTTCATTGTGGAAAGACGGAAATTTACGAAACTTCAAAATTCTTAAATGTGTGTAAATTACTTAGGTGCACCATCAGTGTGTTCACGGAAACTATAGTTGACGTGCGCTAAGACGAGAAAAGTCAAAACGCTCTTAATAAAACTGAGAGAGGTTTCCGCCCAGAGAGATAAGTTATGCCGCTAGGGCTACACAGCAGAACTGCGGCAAACACAATGTCACGTTAGAACTCGACCTGGTCTGTAGCACCATCTGGAGAGAACATGATCCCTCAATCACAGGCAACACAAGGGGATCTCATTAGGTACCTGGGGTTCCATTCCGGCCACGTGGGGGAGAATAGACGTGGACTGGCACACCTGCAACAACACAGACGAAGCAGATTGGCCGATCTGCTTGCCGAACGGGGAGGGGATCGTTCCCACCCCAGCGCCACGATGTGATAATCCTAGGAGATCCGTCCATACAAGTTTTTATTTTCTATAATTCGTTCTGAACAAAGTAGGATTTACGTGTCAAGAGTTATTTTTCCTTTAGAGAAAAAAGGAAACTTTAAATACAGACAGTAAAATTTCGTGTTGGAAAATTATTGCGCCTCGTAGGTACGTAATTGGTGCACTTGTGGTTAAACGCGTTTAAGCAAATAATACTTTCATAGAGAGTTAAAACAAATGCTGGACAAAGAATCTGAATAGGAAAGCAATTAGAACTGACACACTGACACTCAGTGTTGCCATTGCATTTATTAAAATACTTTTTTTAATTTCACATTATAATCCATTTGATTATCCAGCCACGTTTCAAGTGATTAAAGATATGCATTTTCTTGCCAATTTTCATTAATTTGATAAGTGTCTTTGAGCATCTAAAAAAAGCGTCAATAAAAATAACGAAGAAAGTGATCAAAATTAAGTGGGTACAAATCACACTTATTACTATTATTAATAGTTATAAATCATTTCAAATCTTGTTCTAAGCACTTTTAGAAAGAACAATGGTGACGGTTAAGTGTGAATTCGTGAAGTATCAAACAATCAGTTTCTGAACACATTGCTGTTGTAAGACACATTTCGTTAAAAGACATTTCTTGTCATCTGCAATTAAAACGCTCGTCCTAAGGCTTAAAATTCAGTTTTCAAAGCTCTGAAACGAGGTAAGGAATTATGTTCCTTACAACAAACCTACTAAATAAGACTATTCAAAATCCTTCTTTACATATTTGGAAGTTTGACTCTTTTGTTAGCCGACTTTGACAGCACTACCTGATCTATTTTAAAGTGTCAATAAAGTGAAAAAATATAAATATTTTCCCTCTTTTATTACGACATTTTGCTACTAAACTTTTCTGCTTTCTTTGAAAATTACGCAATAAAATTGGAAATAATTTGGAATCTTTCTTGATACCGTAGGACGATAGGCCTGCATCAACAGTAAAGTATCGCCTTCCTTCCTCTCCCTCCGAAGTACCGAAAAGTGCGTACCGAACGTTAACGACACCGTAACGTAACCATTGTTCGGACCTGAGGGGATGATTCCTTGATTCAGAAAGCCTGTACGGCGCTAGGTGTCTCAACGCACCTTTACAGCGTTGTGGCGCTGTCGGCGGCGGTGGCTGCGGGCCCAGGGGAGTGCGGAGCGGGGATTTGTTTGACGGCGCGTCGTTCGTCGCGGTTATATCCCGCGCTAACATGGACTCTCCATCGCGAAGCCATTCGCGCTACCGCCACCGCCTCCGCCGCCACCTCCGTCAGCTCCACTGCTAGCGCCTCCGCCACTGAACCAGTCCCCGCCACAGCCCTAGCATGAGCCAGTGCCCCACCGCACTAGCCTCCACCACAATCGTAGTCTCCGCTACCTTCACCGCCTTCAACTTGGGTCTGGTCATCGCCACCATCTCCATGCTAGATCATCGCCAACCCCCCAGCCGAGGTTCTGTCGCCTTAGCCACCGCCTTTGCCACTGCCGCCGACGCCATCTCTGCCAACGCCGCCTGTTGCCGCCTTTTCCTCCATCGCCAGCATTGCCCGTCCCCACCGCCTCCAACCGCAGCCACCTCTCCATATTCGCCATCGCCTCACCGAGTGCCACCACCACAGTATTGCCTTCACCACTGGTACAACCACCGCCCTAGCTTCTGCCTCCTCTTGTACTTGGCCATCTCGAACAGTCCAGCCTCTTTCACCGTTGCCACCTCGGTTTTCGCTCTAGCCACCACTCTGTTGTCCGCCTTTGGCTTCGGTCCTGCCACCCCTCCATGTCCTTCACCATTGGCACGGCTTTGTCAACCTTCACCGCCTTTAGCACCTCATCGCCCACGCAACACCTACCGCTTTCATCTCCACATTTACTTCAGCAATAGTCTCCTTTCAAACTGCCTTCACCACCGTCCTAACTTCTTCCACCGCCTCCTCTGCCAACATCACTGCTACTCTACTTGCCATCGTCTCACCAACCGCCATCGCCCTTAGAACTGCCTTCACTACCGCCACAATCACCGCTCCCTACAACCGCCCCCTATCCTATTCGGCTTTCTTCAACATCCAAGGCTCCGCCATTGTCTTCACGTCTGTTTTCACCTTAGTCCCCGCCCTAGCTTCCATCTACCTCAACGCCTCTACCATAGCACTGCTATCCCCTCCATCTTCTCTTTCGCTATGGCCACTGCTACAGTAACTTTCACCGCCTTTACAACCCTCGACCCGCCGTTGTCGCCCTCACACCAGCTACCGATTTCATCTCCACCTTCACTTTAGCTACCGACCTACCTTTGCCACCGCCACTACTGCCAACTCGTTTTCTATCCACCTTCGTCACCGTCACTGCCTCTATCTCCATCCCCACCTTCGCCATTACTTTGCCTTCTCCTCCACCTTCACACTCCCCCCCCCCAATTCAGCTCGAGAGGCTATATCGGGATCGTAAAAAGGTCCGAGACGTCAATTGGCAGGTTCCTCCTCCAACAAGTTTCCAGCGAAAATTCACATTTCATTCTCAAAGCCGACAGTTTGGAATGGGTTTTGATTTTCCGAAGTTGGGGGCAGCCTTGAGGAACTCCATCTCTCTCCGCTGGGTGACTGGCGGCAGATAGGCAGTTTTGCGAGAAGGCCAGCGGCGGGTGGAGGGCGAAGGCGTGGGAGGGAGGAGGAGGGGGTGTGGAGAGGGGTGGGGAGGGTGGGGAGGAAGTTGCTGACGCACCGGCCGTTGCGCGCGGCGGGAGCCACCGTGGCTGAAGTGAAGGCGGAAACGAGGGGTCATGGAGGTCGGTTACGAAGGAGATAGCAGCAAAACACACACTACGAATCGCTGGATCTGCTTACGTGAAAGTATTCCAGGAAGGAAATTAACTCAGAAGTTTCTCTGACAATATAGTTCTCTTTTTTTATCGTCACTCTCCTTTTGCTTTTCCTTTTTTTTGTTTTTTTACCTCTTGATCGTTCTTTTTCTTCATCCATCTTTCCCTCCTCATTCATCTTAATCTTCTCAGTTATTTCCTTCTTTCTTTTTTTTAATTCTTGCTTTACTGACTATTTTACATTAATTAAAAACTCATTGCATGTATGGTTGCTAATAATTCAAACTATCGGCGCCAAAACATGTAAAACCAATAAATTATGCGAGGCAATTTGCAACGACAAAATCACGGCATTAATTACTACCTTCTGTAATACTGCAGAACACAAATGTATAGCGCGTTTCGGAATGAGAAAAGAAATTTTTAAATTGAAAAGGACCGCGAGTGATATGGCCTTCTTAATAAGTAACTTGTCCCCATTTGCAAAAGTATTAATGTGTATCTGCCAAAGTCTCAATTACCATTATTTATCTCAAATACCTCCGTTTACGATCAGTTTACTTTCTTTTTTTACTTTACTTTGTCCGTTTAATTTGTTACTTTGATATGTTCAAATCAAGGAATTTGGAAAAGATAATTTTGAGTTAGTTAATATGAGAATGTTGACCGGTGCAGTTGCATTCGGAACCGGGACTACTTTCAGGACGATAGAGGACACGTGTGATAATATCCACTATTAGTACAAAATGAAAGCGTTGGATTCGTCATGTTTCGTCGTCACTGATTTGTCTAATGTTTTACTTATTGGTTTGTTTGTTTTTATTTTTGAACTTCTTTCAGGACACAATCGAAGGGCTCAGTAGAACAAGGGACCATGTTTCATTTTTTGCGAAATTGTGTCATTAGCATTAAATAAAATTTTAATTATTATTTTACTGTAATGTTTTTTAAATTTAGTATGAACTTATCCACAAATGTACTGTGTTTAAAAGTTTAAAATTGCACTGAGTTATCTTCTGAAAGTTCTAGTTAAAACCGTGAATATCTCAAAACCACATTAATGTCAGATAGCCCCCTGTTCTACTGAACCTTCCAATTTCCATTTCACATCCTCTAACAGACAGCGATTCGAAACAGGGCCTTCACTTTCTCTGGGACAAAACACGGACAAAACGCATTCGCCGCGCGGCCACGTGGTCGGTGTGCGAAGTTTCTGGGGGGGTCGGCGGGTCTGCTGGTTCGGATGGCGTGAAGATTCGGGTGGCAAGGCAGAGAGGTCTGAAACTCCGCCTCTAAGACGCGCGTCCGAGTTTGCGAGAGTTGCAGAGGAAGTCTGTGGAGCGCGCCGAATCGCTTCATGGTTTGTGGCTCCAGCTCAGGAGGCGCGCGTGCTCGCGGTGATCAATAAGCGCTGGACGGAAGACGCTGGACGGAAGACGTTGGACGGAAGACACTGGACGGAAGACGCTGGACGGAAGACGCTGGACGGAAGACGCTGGACGGAAGACGCTGGACGGAAGACGCTGGACGGTAGACGCTGGACGGAAGACGCTGGACGGAAGACGCTGGACGGAAGACGTTGGACGGAAGACGTTGGACGGAAGACACTGGACGGAAGACGCTCGGCGTCGCTACGCTTGGAGAGAACGCGTAGAGTGGGTGTAAATGCGTTCTTTGGATATTTAAACGCTCGAGAAAGATGCTCGAATACGTCGGGTATATGAAATGGATTGGAGTAGTTGGGAAATACCTACTGTACATTGAATCAAAGATTGAAAGATGTTAGAATCTGTGGCATGTACGGAAAAGATTGGTGAAAATATGCTAGTAGTTAAGTTCTCGCGCGAAGAAAAAGAACAGTTGCAATATGCGAGATCCATGATACTGTAACAAAGGAGCTTGTTACAGTATCATGGATCTGATATACTCCAACTGTTCTTTTTTTCGTGCATATTCAATCAGGGCTTCGAAGTTGCATTAATGCTCCGCGAATGCTATTGAGGTTGGTGCAAGTATGCGTACTCTGGGCATTGAATAGAAACTTGTAAGTTGTTCTAGTGCGTGACATTGAATGTACGCAAGTTCGTAACCTAAATTTTCAATCAGAAATGAAGTACGTTCGAATGTCCCGCAACAACGAGAGAGATTGGTACTAGTAGCAAGTATGTACTCTATGATTTGAATGTATACGATGAAGTTGCTCAGTGTGACGAATGGTATGAACACGATGCGATACCCAATAATATGGCGTAAAATCAAGTCACCTCCTTGTGTAACCTCGTAGATTTATAGAGGCGCTCAAATTATATCAGGAATAAAACTCTAGACGCAACCTTTAAAATTATTTTGATAAAAAATTGAAATTGCACAGAGAAAAAAATTCAATGTATTTGGAACTTGAAAGGATCTTGAAACCAAAATGGTCCTACCGAGATACGTAGCAATCAAATTGACGATATTGCTAGTTTATTATATATTTTTAGAGGGGAAAAGTATTAGCTGCTATTGTAGTTTGCATATCCACGTGCAAGCAAATATAAGTGTTATTCGTAATAAAATTGTGTCTAAAACAAACCTCAAAATTTGTCTTTTCATTCAAACGTAAAAACGCACCGCTCTTGAAAAAATATATCCATATTCGTTCCTTTGAAAAAGTAAAAAATTTCTGAAGAGGAGGAGTGCAAACATCAGAATACACACGATCTTGTCGTAAGATATCGTAATACAAGTAATAAAACATACAAGATTTGATAATAATATATGAATGATACATTATCACACATATATTAATTGAGTAACCTGCGCGCAGGGGTGTGACTGTTATCCATGATTATATTTATTTCGATCCATCAACAGGAACAAAGGAACTCACTCTATGCGCCTCGAACGACTGGTAGTGAACTGAGCTTTTCTCGAGTCCTTCCAGAACATTCTAAGAGAATAATCGAAATAAAACATTATGGGGGGTTCAAGTTCTTTTACCGTGTTTTGGAAGGTGTTAAAACACCTACATAAATGATTAAAAGCTCATTCGATTCCTCTCAACAAGACGAATCGATTGACTTGTTTACGTTGCATGCTGTTACATGAGTCGTGAGGTTGAGACAGTTAAATATTTTGTTTAATAATCTTTATATTTATTCGAGACTTTATTAATGTAATTCCCTTTAAAATGTGGTTTCTAGCGAAACACATCCACACACAGTACGCTGTTGGGTTTCTTGGGACTTCTAACATTTGACGTCAATACATTGACAAGCGTCTTCCGATACGCCAAGCCTCTCCGTGTGCACTTGTCTTCTCGCGTCACCTCCCGTCACACCCCATCGCTTCGCATCGCGTCGCGCATGACGAGCGCCACGTTATCTAGCGCTTCGCAGAGCGACATGCGCCCCCGCCACACGATCCCTGCACGCACCCGGCGACGACGTATCGATACGTCACCTCGCGCACGCCTCCTATCGCCTCGCCCCGCCCCGTTACGCCGCGTCACGCCGGGCTACACTCACTGACTTCTGTTATCGCTGCCCTGCCGGCTCCTCTCCGTCAAAGGTGTCCCACAGCCTCTCATCTCTAACCCTTTCCTTCCAACGATCATTTTACTCTTCAAAAATGCCCAGGCCAGCGCCGTCAAACCCTTCCCTCCTCTCTTATTCCGACTCACTCTCCTGCTAACTCTAAGCAAGCCTGCTAACCCTGGTAAACTCTATAACCTCCAGCCCACTCTGCCAACACCCCATTCAGTCAACCTCGTCTATTTCGCCAACCCCAATTAACCCCACCCGATTCGCCTGATGCCTATGATGCGCATCAACTCCGCAATACTGTCCAACCCTCCCCATCAAGCCCAGCCCCTACACTGTATCTCTTCTCGTCCTGCACCCTCCGGGCCCGCCCGGCTCCATGAAGGGCAACTGCTTTCTCCAGTCACGGCCTCACACCACCAAGTCCTGCCTTATTTTGGTCAAACCCTTCTGTGAACCAATTAAGGTTGGCAAAAATCTTCTCTCACCGTGCTCCGGCAAGCCCGCTTCTCAACTCACGCTCCGCAAGTCACTCGTCTAAGCTCCCGCGTGCCTCCACACACCTTGCCCGTAACGCCCTCGCACGCCTCTAACCAGCCCGGCATGTTCCCTCACGACCCTTGAAACGCCCCCCGCAGGCCCGCTACGCCAATGGACGCTCCCGCCAAGCCCACTGCCACGCCAATAAAGCTTCCACACGCCCGCACACCATGGTCTCCACGAGCCGTTCCAAGCCAACACCTGCCAAGCCCCGCTGCCCCCAGACACCCTACCTACGTCTCCGCCCACAGCCCGCCTCCAGCCGCTACCACGCGACGAACGCTCCCGCCCTCCTACACGTTCCTACCCCTCGCCACGGTCCCTGTAATGCTCCCTGATATCCCTGCCATCCCCTTTGCATGCCCCCGACACCCTTTCACCTTCCTGCCGTCCCCGACACCCCCGCTACCACATCCCCGCCACCCGTCGCCTTCCCAGCACGCCTGACTTCGCTCTGCCAACTCTCGTTCCTCCTCGCCCCGCCCTGCCCTTTCCCCCTTTCACTGACGGTGCTTCGCGTCCTACTTCCAGAGAGAGCATCGCCAACCAGCTCCACAGCCAGCACTCTGTCCCTGCGCCGGGAAGGCCTTCGATTCCCTCCGGAGGCGCTTCCTCCATTTCTGCCTCACGAGTGCAGCCCGAATTCGGAACGACCTAATGCAAAACGCAAGGAAAACAAGATGTGCACACTCTGAGTACAGAATTTATACTTTGTTTCTCTTCCTTAAACTCTTCTTTCTTCTCATCCTTCATTCTCGTTCCCTCCGTTTGCTCTCTCATTTGTGTTCTCTCAAGTGTGTGTTATAAATATATTTAATAAAATTCAGTGTAAGGAACTATGTCTTCTATGTCTTTTTAAGTTCAGTAATGTTAAGTTAGTGTATTCTGCCACCGAGTTCTCAAACTTAATAGCAGAATTATTAATAAATCTAATCTATTTTTTCGACGACTCCTTGCAAGTTAATATTCTTGTTCTTCCTTCGTTTCCTCATCTCCACCCATCCGCGTTGGTTTCCGTCTTCAGCATCGTCCCACCTCCGGCCGTCCATTTTCTCCCGTTATCGTCGGCTGTTGCTTTCGTACGTGACCAGTGTGGTTGCAGTCGCGTGAAATTCATTGCAATCCCGGCGCCCCAGAGAGAGACTATCCTTTGAGGAGGCGACACGAGAGAGGCCCGAGTACTTCTACGTGGTACATGCTCGTACAACTCGCTTTTACTGCACAAATAATGTTTCGTAGGAACTGACATTGCTGTGTCAGAAATGTAATTCAATTGTAGCAGGTATTTATTCGAAAGTTAAAGACCTTTGACAATTAAAGGAACAAGAGAATACATAGGTGAGGCATGCAATCTCATATGCCATTTTTGTCGCCTATATTGTGCTACGCTCTACACCCCATGCTTTATGTGTCAGTAATGCGTCTTAATGAGAAGATGACTATGGGGAAAAAGGCTGAGACTTTTCAAAGAACATCTTAAATCTAGGTAAATTCAAAGTAATTATTACAACGCGCAAAAGGTAAAGTACAAGATTTCGTCAAAAACATTATTATCTTTTCCTTCTACTTTTTTTCTTCCTCTACGTCAATTTCATTATATTTTACTCCTCATTTTCCCTTCCTTTCTTTTTCTTTGCATTTAGGAACCACTTGCAAATTTCAATCTTTGATGATTTATATTGACCTCCTTCCAATACTCTTTTCATCTTTTTCACTGTGTTTCTTGTTTCCCTTTTCGGAACACAGTGAATAAGCTGCTTCTTTTTCTCAGTTTCAATCGCTCCATTTTAAAATTTTCTTTCTAAAAACTTTCAATCTTCGAATGTAATTATTCTTACACCGTTTTCTTCCAAATATAACAACTATAACCTTTTATAAATCAACATTCAACATATAATACCAAATGCCATATTCTACTACATAAATCTATTATCCTATAAACTGGTAAAAGTAAAAGAGGGTTCAAAATGCTACAGATTTTCAAACCATTCACCAATTTTATTGAATGTTGTTCTGGATTTTAGAAGTCGGTATCTGCTCTATTGAAAATCGTCAAGATCTTTAAACGAAGTTACTGGAAAGCATTATATTCTGCGTAAAAGTTAGTCCAAAGTATTGGGTTAAAACTAATATATCGTAGCTAGCACTTCAAGATAAAAATGCGTTTTCTGGTAATTGAGAAATGGTTTAGGCCAAATTCCCAATGCCAGAGTATCGTCGCAAACTTTCGGATATTTTTTTGATAGAGGACACGACTTCCTTTGACCGCCGGCGTTTGTCAGAGAGAAAATACAACTTGACTGCTGCTTCGCTTCACTCGTTCCTGTCACCGACGCCCAAAGACTCCCCCGGCGAATGTTACCACCCATCTACAGCCTCGGTGGCCTTCCATCCCCTTCTTCCCCTGAATACACACATCCACCTCATCCTGTCGTAGCACTCCTGCAAACCAACGCCCCACCACCAAACGGCGCCCTCCTCCAAATGCATTCCGTAGCCATCACCACCGCCTCCGACACTAATCGACCGTCACATGTCCCTTTCTGCCACCTCCTCTGCCCCGGATCGACTTCCCTTGACCGCTTGTTCCGACTGCT